GAAAAGGAATAATTAATTGTCGAAATTTGCGTTTGCTAAATATTTTTTAATGATTTAACTTTTAATCTATGGACTTGTTTTAAATCATCAAATTATAAAAATAGCGCCATCTATTGATGGTTAAAGCAAATGAAACTGAGATGTTTAATGTTTATTTACTATGATACGACACAGTTTCTTCAAATAATTCTATACTTAAATAAAAGACTGTCAACAAAGGAAAACTTATTTTACTACAGTTAAGTGAGTGTTGTTTTGCCCATCAATATTTATTTTGGTTAATATTTTCAAACTTTAACGACATAGTTTTTTTGACATTTCTAAGTCTACGCGGTAATTGTATATCTATTGAGAATTTGAGTTTGAGGTAAAATATATAAAGTTTTGTGAATGTCATTGTTACTAAATATGGTAGATTTTAATGTTAATTGAATTCATTTATATTAAATTATAGGACTATAAAGGTGCGTACCATCAACATCGACGTCTTTTGCTTTAAGCAAATCGATGTTTCTAGGTTATATATGATTGTTAACGTCCTATTGATTTCATTATTATTTTTATTTCGTAATTTTAAAATATAAAATAATCAGAATGATGAAATTTAAAAAAGGAAACACATAATAAGATTGAATACGTAGAACCCTATCTACCTAACTGTGTATAGAGTACGATCAAGGTATAAAACGTAAGCAAAGAGAACGATGTCGATGGTATGCACAGTTGCTTTAAGTAGTTTCATGTCTTATCATGTCGATATTGTTGTATTTTCGCCGCTGCCATATTGCACAGAGTTGCAGAATTGGAGTTAGTTTTAAGTGGATATATTTAGTCATTTGGATTTTTTGGTGTATTTGAAATTGTCTCATATAATAATATGTATATTTAGGAGTTATGAAAAATTCTTATTTTACATCTTTTCGTTTTATTCTACTTTTCTACTTGCCATAGATCAGATGTAGTTACGAATACATTTACCAAATCATTTTTATGTAAATATTTTTTTATTTAAGTAAGTACAGTACTTGGCACGAAATTTAAGCCTGTGGAAAAATTTAAAATAAATTAAATTAAACATATTTATTAATATTCAAAAATCTGGGGTTACTATTAATAAAGAATATACACAAAACTTCCGCAACTTCGCTTTACTTTCGTGGCGCGTACGTACTCTGTTTCATGACAGTGGGATTTTGTCTCTGTAGACAATCAATCTATAATATCGAAATCATCTTAAATATTTATTACAATTGCGGGTACCTGTTTAAATATCCTAACTTTTTTAAATTTAATAATTACTTGTAATCTTTGGTCAACAATACAGCAAGATAACGCTTCGCATACTAAAACAATATTCAAATACGGCACCATTCACTGCAACACCCAGGAACATAAATACCACCGAGTATATTGTGTGGTAATACTCTAGGCAGTGGCGTAACTATACCGTTTGAGGCACGTGGCAAATTCATCAGATATTCAATTTTCTTTTTACTAATTGTGTAATAATAAATGTCTGGAATAAGGAGTCTCCCCTGACCGGGGGCCCCTTCCAGCTGGGGGCCCGTGGCATTTTACCGACTTGCCACCCTGTAGTTACGCCACTGACTCTAGTCGACAACTGAGCTTCGGAATTGGGTAAGCACCTATGGACTTGACTATACATTGTCATTATATGTGATAATAATTCTAAAACAAATTATAATGTAAATTAATCATAGTAATATTAATTACTTTTAAATAAGTATATTATAAGGTTGTCTCTTAGACTTATTTTTAATCTCAACCGTTTCTTTTTTAAATATGTAGTCCAATCTTACGTCAACAAAACATTCAATAGCTAAATTAAGTAATTCTGTTTTATGGTTTGCTACGTTACTTTCAGGGTACGCATCTATATTAATGCATGACTTTAAGGGCTATATTTCACCGGGATGCCATAGCGGTGCAACCAGTTACGCCACCTTTGTGTCCGTAAGCAACCAAACTAGACACCATACAGACACCAGAGTCGCCACACCAGACGAAGATAGTATCAAAATGGACCTCGAACAGATAGCACTAGTGCTATATGTACGTAGGAAAAGAGAGTTCAAGAGAAAAAATAAATCTCTATCGGAGTAATCGGAAGACGAATTCTCCCAAATTGATGGTCTACTTTAGATTTCGATAATACACCTTTCTGTATCGAAATTGTCCATTGTATGCAATTAATAAATCTTTAAAATATTAAATTAGGTAATTAAAAAACATAATACAAGTGTACATGTGTGCATGTGGGAGCGTCACTTTCGGCCGAGTGAGTGAGATGCCATACAACGCTATAGTAATTAGTGGTGGCGCAACCAGCGTGGCGGCGCAACAAGTAAAATTCTGGTCGCACCGCCAAATTGGTTGCGCAACCAGACGGACACCTGGTAACTCTCTATAGAGCTGTGTATACATTTTGTTGGTAGCGGCGACTGGTTGCGCTGTCATGGCGTCCCGGTGAAATATAGCACTTTGAGGCGTTGTCTTCCGCCATTTTTGAGACCGACCATTTTTGTATTGTTGATCGAAGTTTGTAATATATTACTTAATATTGTAATATTATAAATTGAAAGACAAGACTTTACATTTTTACAGTAAAAAATTATTTAATCTGAGTATAAATTGTTGATCTGAGCATAAATTGTACCTTACTTCCATTACCTTGCCGTCATAAGTTTGATAGTAAAAAGTTGGTGATATGTGTAGTAAATGGATTTTGAATACATATGTAATTTCTTTGTTTTCTTTGATCGGTGTTTATTTATTCGAATTCATCATTATGCTTATATGGTGTATTATTCTAATGCCCAGTAATGCCATTGTGTCATTTTGTCAAGGAAGAATTTTTGAAACGTGGCCAAACGTGTGACAATAACTGTGGTGCAAGCTATTATTCGACTATAATCAAAATATACATAGTGTTAGTATATATATATGTATATATTTATGTCTGGAAATGTGCAATCTTGAAAATAATATGTACATTGCACTGCGGTTATTGAATTTTATTTAATATGTATGTAAAAGAATATTTAAGATTATATTAGGATACGAGATAAAGGAAACATCTGTGCCATACATGTGTTTTAATCTATGCATCTATAGAGTCAACCCTTAGCTTAAACAGAGTAAAAAAAAACAAGGCTTGCAGTTTTTTTTTTTGGACAGTTACGGTATTGCTCTCGCTGTAGATTGTGATATTTCATGCAGTGACAGAAAAATCGCTCCTAAACTCATAAAATAACCTTGATAGATTGAAATGCATATGTTAGATTTGTGAAATAATAGATTGATTGCTATTATACACTGTAGTCTTTGATTGATTGTATCTGTCTTAAGCAGATTAGCAGATGACTGTCGAGAGCCTACCAACGAATATGAACGTCGCCTGAACCCCATGTGAAAATGCGGTCCAAATATTGTTCGAGTTCAATGATAAGATTTATAAGATCGTTTAACATTCTTTAGTAAAATGAAGCAAACAATTTAAAATCTACAGTACCTCAAAGTTCTCTTTCTTATGGTATCAAATATAAAAACATCTCTTTCTAATAAATGATGTTATTGGCGGATAAGGCCCGCGTGCGGAGTGCTGATGATTTATGCACTTATTTTCGGTACCTAGTCTGTCATTGGTTTTATCTACTAGTACAAGGTTTTACATTAGCCATTATTAGCCCATAGGGTCTGCAAGCGGAGTGCGGAAGATTTCTGTGCTTATTTTCATTAGTCTGTCATTAACCGATATTGGCTTATGCTCTAGTGAAAGTTCACTTACAAGGTCGATAGGGCTTGCATGAGGATTGCGGGCGACTTAGTTGCTTATTTTCATTAACAGGTCATTGATTGTTAATGATTTATCGACCAGTGATATGAGCCTATAGCGAGTCACTCTCACTCCATGCGGCAATCGACTAATGTACATTTGCCGTTATGAAAGTCAACAGTAAATACAAAAAACGATTACGGGCAAAACCCCCACACGCAATTAAATGGACTTTTGCATTCGTTACGAATATTTGAAAGCCCGCATGCGAGCGGAATCGGCAAAGGTAAACGACTCAAAATGCGGGGTCTGTGGCATGAGTCACAGAAAACTTCCTCACCCTTCATTCGATATTATCATTAGTAATGCTCTCTTACTGCTGGGCTGTACCCAACTAGAAACACATTAGAGATAACAGACCAAAACCCATCACGCGGGACTAGTTAAGCTTCAATTGCAGATGTAGCTGGGATCAATTGCTAAGCGTGCTAACCGATGCAGGGAGAAGCTGAAGACATCAAATTTTCGGTCCCCCATCCTAAAACCGACACTCATGACAATTACATAGATTTCAACCGAAATCGTTAACCGAAACATCTTCGAACTCATAGAAACATACAATTCCAAATTGGTAAAATATTAGAGAATCCATGCAATTAGTAATGAGAAGATACTGAAAAAAAAGAAAGCACCTCAACTAGATGGCGACTATAGCAAAAGTTGATTTTTGCAGGAAACGAATGGACCTAAGAGTCATTTCCGTTCCTTTTAACTACCTTAATAAAAAACTGAAATTTGAAATGTTCGAAACTTAGATATCAATACAAATACGAAAAAATACAAATAGAATATGAGTTGTTTAGTGAGTTTTGAGAACTAATTTACTTTTAAACTCGAAAGAAAACCGGAAGGGTTGTCATGGAGAAATCAAGAACGTTCCGTAGCGATATCTAGTTTGATTTCGGTAACTAATGATTTTTTTTATTACTCCCTCATTTGATTTACCCTTTGTGCATTTTAAATATGATAAAAATAAACAATAAACCCTTTTATTTAATTAACTAGATAAATACCAATTTACAACAAGTATGTTATAATTTGCATGGAAAACGTCTTACTACACGAAATCCAAATAGAGCCCGAATAGTAAATTCTTAATTTTTCTAGTGAAAAATAAATCTCTCACGTCAGTTTTTTAAAGTGTCTACGAATTGGATTCCTGTTTTAATCGTTTCTCTCTTTGTCGCAATCTCTTTTCTCTTTCAAATTCTTTCATACGCAGTACATAGTCGGCTTGTTCACAGTTCATGTAATTATGTTTCTCGTGTGCACACTTGTATACAAATGGCATGTGTTTGTACCTACAAACTAAATAATTTAACAGAATGTGAGCGCAGTAATCTCTGTACTGGGGCGGAACTCTGGCTGACATCAAGTCTTCTTCGCATGCCACCATTTTGCGCTGCGTTCGTCTTGTTTTGAAGCCGATGTTCGAATCAAAAGTTGGTTGTAAGTTCATTTCCATATCCAAATCTCTAGTTTGAAAAGTACCAAGAAAGTGTCCCATGATTGTAGGTATCTAAGAATCCCTAGTCTTCTGCTTTGTTTTTTTAATACCAAATAAATAATCAAGTCTCTTTTACACGGATTACTATTTATTAAGAAATATTTTAGAAATGTACTGAATCGATTAAAAATAGAAACAGACTGACAAGCCATTAGAAATTTGACTTACTCTTTGGAGGAAAGAGTAAGTAAAATTTCTCCGATAACTCAAAGAGTAAATTGATATCTAGATTTTAATGGTTTTAAACTATGATATAAGGTTTTATTGTAAAGGTTTGAAATTTTCTTGACGTGCTGTTGTCGGTCGATCGGTTCTTGTCCCAAACAAATGGTTTTATTACTACTTTTGTGAAGTTCGTCCTTTTTAATTTAATTGTATTATGATGATTTTGAGCGTACGCTACCCTGACACTGGCGCCCGCAGTAAGTGACCCCACTTACTCCCTGGATAGAAGGGTTCCTTGTTATTGAAGCAGCGTGAAGGACCACTAATATACGAGGTCTCGTTATTTCAGTCCTAAACGCTTGCTCCGAAACTACTCAACTATATCATTAGAAATTTTAATTGGCCAATTTTAACTGCCACATTCCCAACCCCATAAGTTATGGTGTCAAATGTGTAAGTTGTGAATTGTTGCAGTGAGTTTGTAGAAATAAAACATGACGGAAAAAATAGGAAATTCTCTTTTATTCAGTACTCAACATCATTCACCACCGACTTTTTAGATAATAACCTTTGAATAATTATATTCGATTACTTTGACTTATGTTAGTTATATCAACTTATATCTAATAAACTCCATAATTCTTAGACTCCACATAATACATCTTACAGGAAATTTCGAATTTCCAAAGGAGTTATAATAATTTGTGATTTGTACAACGGACCCGATAGATATCGTGACAATAGATTTTAGTAATAGGACGTATTATTGCAACTTTTTATCGTCAGATGGCAGCATTAACAAAAGCTGTTAGACAGTTTTATAAATGTCAAACTTCATTCACAGAGTAGTGAGTAAAAAGTAAAGTAATGAGCAATGAGCATAGTAGGATTTTAATGTTTTTATATTTAAAATTACAAAAGAGTGCAATTTTATCCGATTTGTAGCTAAAAAGGAAGGGAATTAATTTACAAAAGACAACATATTCTAAAAAAGTTTGTTTACTATACACGTGCTAAAGGCGCCATCTACGCTGAGTTTTGCGCAATATTAAGAGTGAGGCGACTCTTAATACGGACCGGGCGGCGGGTTCTATACAATGCCGTCTTTACCATAAGGGCACTAGGGACCAGTGCCCAGGGCCCCCCATCCTCAGAGGGCCCTGAAGGACCGCGCATTACGCTTTTCTCGTTGCACGAACGTCGATCATTTTCAAATTTATTCAAATCAATATATTTATATGAATAATTTGAGGGATTCGAACACCATTATAACTGGTCATTAAAGTTTATAATATTAACGTCTATTTTCAAGTTTTTATTTATTTTTTTATTCTGTAATTTGAAAGTTTGCAAAAATAATAATAGTTTCTGAAAAAAGTTATAGCTCAAAAGAAATCAGTGAAAAACTTCCTAAGCCTACTTCGTTTTTTACGGTGGAAGAAATAAATAAGTTGGGGAATCATCATCATCACCTCAAGATAATACCTCTAAAGATCACTAGGAAAAAGAGGTTATTACTTGTGACGGAAACGACAAACGTACATCAAATTCTGAATCCTCAACATCAAGCAATTGTGAATTAATAATTGCAAACTTGGATAGTGTATCTGTATCTCATGACTGGTACGTACTGTAACGATATTTTAACGGAAAAAAACTGTACTATTTGGATTCGAAAAGGGCCAGTTTTTCCAAAATAAACACTGTGACATCTTCGGAACTTCTACAAGTTTTCCAGTTTCATATGGTCATTATTCTTAATACAAAATGCTTAAAAAATCTGCTTGGTCCCTGGCATCCTGAGATGGGAATCGCACCCACGACCTTTAGCATACTCGACAAAAAATATTTTTACCCGTAAATTAACGAATAGTCTCTGGTCTATTTAATAACACTATTGGTACTGGACATAATTTGAGTTCTCCAAATGGATATAAGGATTGGAAACATATAAGTAACTTATTGATGGAGCATGAGAACAGTTGCGACACAGCCAATTTATGATGAATAATGTTACAAGAATGAAAACTACTGGTCGAATTGATAGTGAGTTGTTGTCCCGATATAATATAGAAGTTAACTATTGGAAAAATGTCCTTACGAGAATTGTTGCACTTGTGAAGTTTTTAAATTTAATATCTCAGTCTTACATAACTTAAAAAGTCTGATAAGAAGAAACTTTTCCAAATGTTGAAGTTGCTACAAGAATATTCCTTTGTCTAATGGTTACCAATTGTAGTGGGGAGTGTTAATTTTCACGCCTTAAGAGAGTAAAAAATGAATTGCGAACAACAATATTACGAGAGCGACTAAATGATTTGTCAATTTAGCAAAGAGAGTGATATTCTTCAGAAAATTGAGTTTGAGGATTTAATAGAAGATTCTGCTCAACAGAAACCTCTAAAGAAATTATTATCGTAATCACAATAAACAGCGGCATATACACTAATATTATGAGTGACATATTGTATTATTATAATATAATTCTTATTAATAAAGCAAATCATAGTCAAAAAAAATTGTTTAGTTCGATTCGTTATTTTTACATTCCAAAAGGGCCCCGAATTCTTGTGTGCCCAAGGGCCCCAGCGTAGTCTAAGACGGTCCTGGTTCTATATGATTGTTCATGCTACGTTCTGCCCTTTGCACATTTTCCAGTAGTGTCCCTTCAGGCTCATTAGTTCCGCGTGGTTGCCTTTCTCGACAATTTTACCTGTAAATAAAACCATATTTAAGTGGAGCGTACTTAGTTGGTACTACCGACTTTAAAACAACAAAAGGAAATTTCATAAATACTCGTACATATATTCAAATTGTTTGTGAATATCGTCTATCAACGATAATATTATTAAACAAAATTTCTCCCACAATAATCATTGACTTTTAAGAAAAAAAATCTAAATTTTTAAGCACATATTTAATATCATGAATTTATATCAATAAAATATAACTATAAAATGCGATGCATCGACGGCCGTTCGAACTCTGTACCATAGTATAATCAATGAACTGTGTCAGTACTGTTAGTGTAACTTATTTTTATGAAACAAATTGTAAGTGTCTACACTAGTTCATTATTAAATGCTTTATTTCTTTGTTGACTGAACTAATATCTTTCAAACTACCTTTTTCCATAACACAGATTAGATCGGCGTCCTTTATTGTTGAGAGACGATGTGCAATCGTTATACAAGTACGTCCTTTAGCCGCCTTCTCCAATGCTTCAGTTACAGCCTGAAATGTTTATAATATAATTAGAGTAGCTTTCCGCCAGCGGCTATGCCCGCGAGGTTCTGGTTCTGTATCTATAATATATTAATTAAGAATGTATAAATATTTTCTATATTACGTATAAATATATATTTATTCTAACGTATAAATATATTAAAATGTATAAATTTCCCGAAATTCTATCCCTAGGGGGGTGAAAAGCGGCGGTAAAGTTTGTATGGGACAAAGTGATTCCTTTGTCCGATTTACATAATTTTTTTTTAACAGAATTGATGAAAGACGGGTTTCATATTTTACTAAAAACATCGCCTAACGAGCTTCAAAAGGGGTAAAAACTATATTTGGAATCACCACAATTTTTTATAAGCGACAACCCTAGTATTTAGGCTATTGTCGCTCGCTCAGGGTTTAAGTTAGCGTACTACTTTGGTTTTACTATGCTATTACCGATACACTTACCCGTTCACTGTTAGCATCTAGTGCTGACGTGGCTTCATCTAGCAGTAGGAGTCTAGGGGATCTGATGAGAGCGCGTGCGATACAAACGCGTTGTTTCTGACCACCGGATAGTTGGGCGCCACCAGAACCGAGGTTTGTGTCGTAACCCTATAAAATGATCTTGTAAGTTATAATTAGGAAATCTTAGAAAAAGGAAAGGAGATCATCGACAATTATGACTGAACAGAATTCTATGGTGGAATTTCATACATCAATGTAGGACAAACAGTTACCTAATATAGCGTATGAACGCTGGTCTTTTAGCTTTTGCTGAGGGACAAACCTGTCAGTGGCCTGCAGTGATATTTTGTAAAGGCGTTGCCAAAGCAAGAGGTTCAATCAAATAATCATCACCAGCCTAATAATGTCCCCATTGTTGGGGCTCAAGCCTTCCCTACGGATGGAACCCAAACAAATCAAATAGGGAGGTCGGGCTATAACTCACTCGGGCCCACTATAGATTGGTGGATATTGACGATTGCAGATGCAGCCTTAAGATTATATGATAGTTTCTCCTCACCCATTCTACGACCGGCCATTGTAAAAGTTAATTACTACGACTCTGCTCTCCTCCATCAAATAATCTCTTCCTCAAAAGGTAATAAAGGCTTTATTTCATGGAATCTCTTTGTGACAGCGCTACGCTCAACGACAAATTCAAGACTAATTTTATTACAGAATAGCAAAGCTGTTCGTTTAATATTAATCTAACTAAGATGCCAGACATTGATTAGAACGTTATTTAAGCAACCATAAGTTCAGTCATCCAAATAAATCCGAGGCCTACGAAGATTTCCCGGAATAGAGTAATAAATAACTAATTCTCACATTTTAGATTTAATATTAGTATCTAAGGCTTGATACAGACCTTTGGCAATGACACAATGAAGTTGTGTATATTGGCTGCTTTAGCCGCAGCGATGATCTCGTGCATTGTCACCTTGCGGTTGTTGTCACCGTACGCGATGTTCTCTGCCAATGTGCGGTCGAACAGTACTGGCTCCTGTTGCACCACGCCCAACTGTCTCCGCAGCCGCGGCAATGTTAGACCCATACGAGTATCCACATTGTCCAGCTCCTACAAATACTTCTACATGAACAACGTTGTACACTTGACCACATATATATAATTGGAAATTGCTATGTATAAATTGTATAAAAGATTCTAAAACATGATTTACTTACGATGTTTCCAGTGTCTGGGTCGTAGAACCTCTGCAATAGTTGGAGTATTGTAGATTTTCCGCAGCCAGAGGAGCCTACTAGAGCTATTGTCTTGCCGGCTTCGACTTTCAAGTCGATACCTCTGAGGATCCGTTGGTTTGGGCGTGTGGGGTAGCCGAATTCTACTTCTTTGATGCTAAACATGCCAGTGGCACTCTGAAATTATTGTTAAAAAAGGCTTAAAAAACAAAACTTTTTAAACTGCTAAAAATATTATTTATTTTGAAGTTACTATGTAGAAACCTATTTCTGTAAATAATTTGTTACGGTATAATTCAGCCAGCATATCGATTATTTCTTTTATAAATCTTGATGGCGTATGGACGATATGGATTTTACCTATGGACGGTTAATGGATTAAGCACCGTTAAAATTTACAATAATGTTATAGATAATTACATAATTTTAATATGAAATTACAATCAACACGAATTCATCGATTTGACAAGGTTTTCAAATTGACCATTTTGAACTCAAATATGTCGTTTGCTTTGTAATTGTATATGAAATACTTGAAATAAGTATGAAGTTATTTATAAATATAAGCTCTAAGGAAGAAAATGGTTAATTAGTGTGTGGAAAGTTATTGTTAAAAGCAATACTTTAAGGTTAAGATTTGAAAATTTTCTTTCTGAAAATGTTGACTTATAATACAACATCTGAAAACTGATATTTTCACGCGTTCCTATGATATAGATTCATTGACATACTAATGGTACACCCTGTACTATACTTGCAAATGATCAAAATTTAGGAATATTCCGAATAGTTGTCACATATTTTGTTAAAATGTTTTTAAGGTAGGAGAAGGCACTTTCAGGTTCTCCTTTCGCTGCATCATAAATTATGGGAAATACGTTTCTTTACACTCATATTAGCGTTTCGAAAATAGACCTCCAGTTTTTGGATGATAATTCGAAAGGATATTTTACGGTGGAGTGTTTAATTGCACTGTGGAGCTTACCCATTCTCGTTTGTCTCTAACTCCGTCTTCAGTTCTAACTTTCGGTTGTCTGTTTATAATTGCAAGAATCTTCGCTCCGCATGCTTTGGCAGAGTTGAAACTTGGTGCGTACACTAATGATTGACCTAACATGTATGCCCCATACATAACAGCCTCGTTAACTCTGGAAATAAACACAAATAACAACCTTTATCTTACTCAGACTTTAGACCTATCTCTATTCTCCCATTCCTATCCAAAGTCTTCAAGCGTCTTATCGGTAATCAATTGAATTGGCATGATGGCACTACAACTACTTATGTGAAAATAAAATTGTGCTTTCAAAAATACATTTCGTTAGGCATTGTGCATGTAGAATTAAATAAATAAAATACTTACAATAATACAATCTTGTAGTCTAAGCGTTCCCTGGCCACCAACCAGGTACCATATACTGTGGCGCTACAGTAGGAAAGGAAAGGTACGTATATACCTAGCCCTAATACCAATCCTCGCCATCGAGTCTTCTTCGCCACAGCTTTGCAAGATATCTCGAGAGCCACTTTGAACTTCTCTAGGAATATGTTCTCTATACCTGTTGATCAAGGATTTCAAAGAAATACTTTTTTAAAACTAGAACCGACTTCGAGCTTTAAAATATTTATTAATAATACTATCTTAAAAGTTACTTATTCAAGAAATGCTATTCAAGACGGGCGGAGGTTCACTATAGCTTATTAATTAAATGAGAGGCGCCTGATTTCAATAGGATATTCTTGAATAAGTTTAGAGAGAAATATTATTAATGATTGTTTAAAAGTTAGAATTGATTTTGTTTTCAATTTTTATTTCATGTTTTTGGTGATATTTGTTATATAATAGGTAACACTAAAAATACTAAATATCTAATGTACTCGTAAATAAAATATTTAACATAGTGAAAGTCTTAGAAAAGAAGATTTTGTTTATTTGCTCGGCAATCTTCTTCCTTCATATTAAAATGAAGAATGATTTGATTGCTTGTGCTTGTTTGCATTGGATAGGCTCCGAAACTATTGGACCAATTTAAAAGTCTTTACTAAGCGACTTATATGTACGCGGAGTACATACTAATATTAAAGTAGAGAGTGCGTTTGTTTGATTAAACTATAATCTCAGGAACTACTGGAACATATTGAATTATTTTTTCATGTAATAGGCAATTTATCTAGAAAGGCTATAGGCTATATTACATCACTCTATGGCTTAAAGGAGTGGAATGGCAATGAAAAATGTCGCAAAAACGGGAGAATATTATACTTTTTTAAAGCTTTCCTGGCGAGCGTTGCGTAAACGGTGAAAGTTACGCAATAATCATTTATTACGAAATGAGTGTTCTTTTAAACGGGATTTGGATTTTTTATGTTTGTTTTTTTCCGATTTTCATATTTTTTTTCCAAAAAAGTAATTTAATAGTGAATTGTTAATCAAGCGAATACATAAACTAATCCAAGCTATTGTCGCTAGATGACGCTACTGTATTATTGAAATGTGGTTTTGATTTTAATGTTTGTCGTCTTTATTGCTTTTCTGATTTTTTAACAAACAAGGTGCTTTCATTTTCAATTTTGCGGTTCCATTGTTTCCATAGTTATAACCCTTATAGTTTCGTCATGTCTGTCTGTTTATCCGTCGGTCTGCGGTTTAGTTCAAAAACAATTTGTATTAGAAAGGTGTAAATTAGCATATTCTTAATTCACACCGATAAAGTGGTAAAATAAAATCTTGAAAAAAAGAATTGAATCGTTCGTAACTGATCTAAACTTCAAACTGCCAATTTTCGTTAGAGTCCAATTCCCTCCTCCTCTTACCAAACGGTTGATGTTATAAACTCAACGTTACGGTAGTAATGTATAGGAAATCTATCACACTTAAGTTGGCTTTACAATTTAACGAGTAATGGTCGACCAAAATGTATTTGATTCGGATATTTTGAACAAATGCTTTGAAAACAAGTAACATGGTATTTTTGCTATTTGTATGGATAAACCATTTGTATCATAAAATTTAATTAAGTGTTGGTACGCTTGCTCAGTTTTTTGGTAATATATTTTATTGGAGAATTATTCATCTGTCAATAAAATAATATATGGGTATTAACGAGATACTTTAATACTTTTCTCCTCCTCCTTTTCGATTTTGTAGTCGGATAATAAATGAAGACAATATGATGAAGAAGACAATATGATAAATGAAACAAACGCTAAGGCTCTATGTTTACGCAGTCCATAATGACAGCACTTCGTCAGTAGGTACATTGGAACCTTTCCGACTGCCAATAAAGATTGAATCCATTGGTTATTAGCATAATACAACCAAATACTCTTTAAAGTTGCATCGAGATTATAGTTTTTCAAAGTTATCCGATGTTTAAAAACTCCTTTATAGTATTTCCTTACCTAAGCTTTGTACAGTTCTGATACTGACGACGGCTTCTGTGGCGACACTGGTAGCTAGCTCCATAGCCTCGCGTTCATCTGATTGGGACTTCTGTGAGACTATACCCTCTAGCCAAATACTGCCCACCATCTGGTAATATACAATCATATATCTTTCAAATTATAAAATTAATTAACAAGTTGAAATATGACGATGATTGTTAAGATCATTTGAAGTTCCGAAAATCTTGTCTACTGTAGTGAGAATGCTTTACGATAAAAATATTTTTTTCCGTACTTATATGTGCGCAAATGCCTAGTGCTAGGCGCCGCATAACGAATATCATAACTTTAGACAATGCTTAATTTCGTTAGGTGGTTCCTAGTCAATTATAAAACGCATACTTAAGCGATTCCTAAATATTTAGGCGAGACATTTTGGCGACTCCTTAGTTTAGTGAAGACGGGCTTGCTCAACAGATTATAACAACTTTCTTTATTTCCAGGATGTCTGAGGTGAATTTTACTCACCAGTGGCAGGAACGCCGTGCCTACTAGAGTCAGTTTCCAGTTATAAGACATAGCCATGATGAAGCCGACCATTACAGAGCTTATGCCTTGAAGGATCAGTCCTATCCTCAACCCAGTCGCGCCTTGGACCTCAGCAGTATCACCACTGAGACGTGCACAAAGAGCACCTACTGTGTTGCTGTCTTTGTCGAAAAATCCGATTTCCTGTTTACCAATAACATTAATAAGATCTTAACACACTTTAATCAAGTCGATAACGCGATAGGTTCCTGAATTGCTTTATGACATTCAAAATTACTTAATAGATACAATACAAATCCTCACATTTACTATATCTCAAATAGTCTTAATAATAACCGTTTTATTATTTATTTATTTATTTATTTAATACTTTATGCACTAAAGTACAAAGGCGGACTTAATGCCTTAGGCATTCTCTGCCAGTCAACCTTTAGGTGATGTGGAGACTAAATATAAAGTAAAGGTAGGTGCATACCAATACACTTAAAACGACAAGACGAAAATATATACTTACACATAAGGTACTCAATTTAGACAAAAACTGGGAAATAAATACACAAATATATATAAATACATAGATGAATAAATTATACACACATATATATACATACATACACACTATACGTGAGATAACGATTTTCATGAATCTGGCTGTTTTAGTATAAAGTCGCGCAATTTTGTTCTGAAAACTAACCGACTGGGGGACATTCTGATATCTGAGGGTAGTGCGTTCCATAGAAGAATAGCCTTAACGAAAAAGGAGGAATGCATGACGTCAGAGTGATGAGAGGGGCAAACAAGTAGTCGATTAAAGGACGATCAAAGATTTTTAATGTGACTCGTGCATAAATACTGAAAGTAGGGGGTTAGATAGCTTGGGGCATTAGTGGTCAATGCCCGCACTTCTCTACGCTTTCGTATAGGCATCCATTTTAAAAGAGAGCGATATGGGGATACATGGTCTTATTTACGAAGATTAAAAACGAATCGAATGCAGTTATTTAGAACACGGTCAAGCTTATTGAGAAGATCTGCATTCAGGTCGAGGTAGCACACATCACCATAGTCAATCACCAAAGGGAAAATTATGGTTTGCACAAGCATTGCCTTGATTGTGGTTGGTAGGAAATTCTTAAGACGATATAAGGCTCTTAGTACTCCAGTTACCTTTTGGCAAATAGTGGTAGTTTGAATTTGCCAGTTCATATTAAGATCCACGTCCAATTTAATATTAATAGGAATCCGAATTTTATTTCAGTCTGCATCAGCAGACATATGAATTGATGTTAGTTCATTCATTCATAGGTACCTACTTGTTTTAACAACGCAGAGAAGTACTGGTATCTTAATCTGGACGTCATTTTTAACCCTGCATTGGTAAATGTTGTACTTTGTAAGAACATAGATGTGCCAGCGACCGCAGCCACCACGACGAACATTCCCGAATAGAAATCAGCCCAGTAAATGATTTCACCAACATTAGACAGGACGAATATCTGTAATAAAGAACGTATTGTTCTCAAAATGTAAATAACGTCGATTACCAATGAAATTCTAATATTTTGTGTACAATTCCATTTAAATAATTTTCATTGCAAGGTCGCGATATACATAACACTTGTGCAAAAGTGTTATATTTATATTATTTTTAATTTTATTTGATTTGTGATTAAATATAACAGATACTAAAAGAATATCCGTCTTGTCATACTGACTGATAGACAACGCACTAAGTAAATCGCTGTTGAATGTGATCAATACTGATCCTAAATTAGCAATCATATACTTATTAATTATAATTCGTTTCTTGATTTTCGACAGTTAACCAGTTGTCTGGGCTTTATACAGCCGTACTCTGTGACCTATGTCCAGGTCACCTTTTATCTCGATGAAGGGGTTTAAATAGGGGATGAAAGTTTGTACTTTAAGATAAAGAAATGTTTGTAATAGCATTTTTCGAATTGCTGCACATAGTAACTATATCACGCGGATGAAAATTCTGGGAAAAACTAGTAAAATAAAACTAACTGAATCAAAGTGATAAAATACTTACGCCTGAAGCATAACCGAACAACAGAGCAAATACCGGAAAACAAGCACCTTGAATGAAGGCAGCTAATGAGCCTATTACTATTAGTGGCCATTCTGGTGCATTCAATTTCAGTAACGCCCAGTCACTCACAGGTTTGACTTCCTGGAATAAGAGATTATTAACTTTAACTTTGAAATGCTAGAGATTTTGTTTATATCAATTGATTTGAAATATAAAATAAAGACAATTAAAGCAACAAATCTACCTCATCATCTTCGTCCTCATTTTCAGATTCAAGGTCAGCATTGTACACGAAGTTTTGCAAGCCAGTTGACATTACAGAGCTTATAGATCCGCGAGGTGTCATCCAGTCATGGGATTCTGAATAACAGGATAATCATATAACGGAAATTGTTAGAATTATTTTCAGGAATCTCATTATGTAGAAATTTGTTTGTTTGGGAGGAAAATATGTAATCATGAATACCTTACCTCTCTTGGTTGAATGATGTCTGTATATTTTCCTGTTGGATCGTCTCTTTACATCTATTCTGGGTGCAAGTACTACTTCGTTACCATCCTCTTCGCATGCTTGTTCTTCTGGTTCCTCCGGCAACGTCTCAATCACATCTGGTTCGTGATTCTCATTTCCAGTAGTAACTAGTTTGTAGTAAAATCCTTGGCAAAATAAGGTTTACAATATAATTGGTTAGAACGTCATAAATATCCTTAGAATTAAAGCAAATAAATTGTTCTGTAACGTCACTTACACTCGTACTATGTTATTTACCTTTTGCTTTCATTAATTCAGCATGAGTTCCTTGTTCAACTATTTGCCCTTGATCCATACAAACAATTCGGTCGGAATTGACAATAGTTGATAATCTTAAATATAAAACAATGAATTTTATTAATTTTTACTCATTTAAATAAATCAGTATGAAACAAAGATGTAGAAATTAATTTTCACCTATGAGATACAGTAACTGTGGTTCGTCCATAACTTGCTCTGTCTAAAGCGGCCTGTACTTTTTTCTCTGAGTGTGGATCCAGTGCAGATGTTGCTTCGTCTAGTAATAAAACAGCTGGTTCTCTTAACAATGATCTGGCTATGGCGATACGTTGTTTCTGACCTCCAGAGAGAGAAGCTCCTCGTTCACCAATGACAGTATCGTAACCCTAAATGTTAGTAGATACTCTAGTTACATACTTTCAAATTTACAAAATGTACCTAAATTCTCTTTGGTTTATATCATTATTATCAGCCTAATAATGCCTTTCAATGCTCAGGCCTTACTAATAGATGAAACGGGACAGGGATACCAGGTTATGAATCTAAGGACTAGTGTGGTTTAGTAGATGTTAATAATTGCAGATGTTACCGGGACCAATGGCTTAACAAGCCTTTCGAAGCATAGGCGATCATCTTGTCCAGCTATTGCGAAATTTAATTTTTACTTATTATGAGATTCTTGTAAAATACTGGATAAACGTATTATTAATACAATGTATCTCAGACTTACGTTTGGTAGATTTATAATAAAATCATGCGCGTATGCCATTTCGGCTACTCTTTGAATCTCCTCTTTGGTCGCTTCAGGACATCCTATGCTGATGTTGTCGTGAATCGTTCCATAAAATAGAACTGGTTCTTGTCCTACCACACCTACGCATACAATTTTATTTATAAATGTTCCACACATGCACAGAACAAATAGAGCTTATTATGAATTGTTTTAGTGTTTTTGATTTATTTGTATCATTCTCATCACACACATTAAATGGCGGGTGAATCATAAGGCTTAATAGGGGAGTAAAGCCAAAATAATAAAAATAAACATGATAAAAAAGTTTTTTAAAAATAAGCGTTTAGAATTTATTTATTTAGTATGCACAAATAAAAGCTTGTTTTAAAAAACTTTTATTATCATATTTATATCTCTTTCCTTTTTAGTGTTGATTCAATATGTTGTTGTTCTCATAGAGTCGGATCTAAAGAGCCTAAATATGATGCAAATGCGTTTTTTCATTGCTAAGTTCCTATGACCACCTTCCAGCTCCACCATCAACAGATCTTGGTTTAGAAAGCATCCAGTACTAAAGTCTGCATAAAGACGGATCTAACGAGCTCAAAGACAATGTAGTTACGTCATTTCATCACTGAATTCCTATGTCGACCTTCCGACTTCTTAATTTCAGCTTACTGACATCATAGTATTGCATTGTCATCTGCCTTACATGTCTATGCGAAATTTCAAGACTATTGGACATTGGGAAGTGCCTCAAATTTGAGTTCCAACAAACATAGTTGCGTACTAACATACAAACAAGGCAAGTAAAATAAAAGCTTATATTATACACAAATAAACTTACCCAACGAAGACCTGAGCCAGCTCAAATTGAGATTCTTTAAATCTTTCCCATCGAGTTTCACTATTCCCGAGTGTGGGTCATAAAGTCTCTGTATGAGTTGTAAAATGGTACTTTTGCCGCATCCTGAAGAACCAACTAAAGCCACACATTCTCCTGGTTTAACATGTAGCGATAGTCCTTTCAAGACCTGTTGTTAAAACGTTTTTATTATGGAAATGTCTTTATAAGTTTTTTTTACATTAATTGAGTGGACTGAAGTAAGGGACCACTTATGCTGGACCGTGTCGAAACCAAACACCGGTCGTAACACGGTATAGGCTCTCTTGTACCTTCAATTATATTGCCATACAAATACCTATCGAGAGTAAAGTCCCGCTCGCTTGATTCCATACATTTTTAATCACAGAAAAATAACGAATTTACCAAAAACATTTTCTTTAATGAACAAAAGTATATATTAAAATCTATTATTGTATAGCTAAGATGAAATATACTAGTCGTACAGCATTTTTTACTATCGAGCCAATAATTGAAATTTCTGTTTATGTATGTAGCAAACAATCGATCATATGTTTAATTTTCATAAAATTATTTATATTTGGCAAATTTTAGCTTGGCAAACGGTAATTAAGTACAATGTCCCCTTTTTCAGCGGCCACACTTGGTTCGTTTACGATATATCGGACCCGACACGGTTAGTGACTGAAGGTGAGTCATTAACCGACTTCAAATTCGAAAAGGAGGAGGTTATATGTTTGTCGGCGATGTATGCTTTTTTTATGTATGTTCACCGATATTTTCCTCGATTTTTGACCAATTATCAAATTTCTTTTTTATTCGACAGCTTGATGGTTCGAAGTGGTTATATTGTTTTTTTTACGAAATCGAATAAGTAGTTTTCCTTTTATAACAAAACAAACTACGCTTTCCAATAGTGATCACCTAAATATCAATATTTCAGCTAAAAAACAAAAGATTGCGTATTTAGAATTTATTCAAAATCTGGAAAGGAAAATTTTCTATGTTCAACGAGTATGTGTACTCTTTGTTGTATATTTTTTATAAAAGTCATATATAGTAGGTATTAATGAGTAAAGTATATGTATATATATAGGTGTAGATATGTTCATCGAGTTCGTATCTTCGTCGACTTCAATATTATTTTCTTGAATAAGTCGCTTTTGAGGTTTTCATTTAAGTCGGTTTTGTTTTTCTTTATGCGACCGGAAGTTAAGTTCAGTTATGCTACTCTTTTAAAAAACAGCCTTGAAGTCAACGTTTAACACATCGCTGTGATTATATAAAGCTTCTGCGCGTGATAAATTAAATTAAACCTTTGGTATTTTTTAAATAGGTTGTAACGGTGTGCCATGCCACCGTTTGTTTTCCTAGGTTTCAGTATGCAAACTTTTTGCTTTTGAAATTCAACATCATTTCATTTTACTATTCGTCTTTCGTAATTTAAAATTTTGACTAATCAATTTTACTCTTTATGGATGTCAGTTCGTAAGAAATTCTCCTATACACAAGATGAAATTATAATATAATACAATATTATTGGTATAAATTTTACTATGTAATTTTAATAATTCATATATTATGGTGATACAATAATATAACATATTTACTAAATTAAAACTGTATTTTGTACGATCCAAAAGTGTAACAAGAAGCCCGACAAGGGGTATGTATTCGTTTATTTGATAAGAATGTATTAGTTTAAGTAACTTACGAACTGTTTTTTAAATTTATTTTTGTTTGTTACAGTTTTTTATTATTACCCTTATTTCATCAATAAATTATACTCAAGCTGATCAGCCTATTTAATTGACCCAAGCACCGAACCCGTAACAAGGTTTTATATGATAGAGCCTCTTTACTATGACAGTGTGCAGCTTCTCCAGTTCAGTTCAGTTGCATTTCCAGTTCGTTCGTTCTCTTATTCTCCAGATTCTAAACTTTGCGGTAAGTAAAGCCTTCCGTTGTGACGTACGCGTTTCGCCGACTTTTTTACTTGGAAACGCGAGCTAGGTTAATAATGTAGGTCTCAGTCTAATGTCGTGAAATCTTTAGAGCATCAAACAGTAGAGTAGGTATTGAATAAAGTATTTACAGTTAAATAAAATATTTATGATTATGTGGGTAATGAAATTAAAAAATCTTCAACTAAAGAAATTTGTCTAACCAATAAGGTTTACGTATCTAGTTTTATTTAGCTTATATAATATGTTTATGAAACTAAACATTGTAAATAAAAAAAAAATGTGTTTGTCCATATTAATGGTAAAATTAAGCAAGGTAATTAAAGTCACAGTTAAAATATGTTAATTCGAAAATAAACTTTAGTGCTTTTGAATCGTCCAACATTTTCTCCCTACTACTTTCAGAACGTCTTTTAGCTGATAAGTCACCAGCTCTAATTGAAGTAAGACATTCACAAAAAGCATGTCATTACTAAATACTTAAGAAACTCACTTTTCATTACAATATTAACATAACAGAATAAAGTAAATGCTGTATATTTTACAATAGATACCTTGACGTCCGGTCGAGATGGATAGCTGAAGTGTACATTGTCGAGTGATATCTCCCCGATGACTCGTCTAGGTGAAGAGCCAGATTTTGCAAGACTGTCAATATTTGGCTCTCGTTCTATTAACTGAAATATGGTGGCTGCGGCTCCACGCGCCGCGGCAAAAGTTTCAAAATGAGGCACGCAGAATGTGATAGATTGCGTCGCCATATATACGCTGAACAATATCTAAAATTCATAAATATTAACATTAACAAGAAAGCATTCGGTACATAAAGACATTAAACTATAATTGGTACTCAATAATTCTATTGTAAATTAATTATGTATTTGGCATATTATACATTTTTTATCATCATTATCACCACTACAGGGGCTCAGGCCTTCCTTATTGATTGTTAAGGTGGATGGGCCATAACCCTCCGTGCTTTGGCCCAATGTGAATTGGCGAGTATTAACGATTGCAAATGCAGGCAGGACCAGGGCTTACGTGTCTTCCGATGCATGGAATAGCTCAAGATAATAAGTTTTGGTCACCCATCCCGTGACCGACCCTTGCAGAAGTTGCTTAACTGCAACGATTGCGCATCGCGGCGCTTGTAAACTAAGCCACCGAGCTACTCATATCTCGGTGGCGAAGAGGATACTCGCTTAAGTTTTGACATAATATAAATTTGTCGTAAAAAGTAATAATTGTTCCCGCACTACTTAGGTAACTGATAAAAAAGTTGCAAAGGCGTAATTCTTTCATTAGAGAACCCCCTGTAAAAATCTTCCTAATGCATTTTCGGTCAGTTGCAAAAACGTCCATTAAGGTTTAATGACGTGTTGAAGCTCTAATGAATGTCAAAATTGTATGGGTAATGCCACTTTAAACTGATGAAAGATTTAATGGACGTTTATGGCTTAAATTCTTATAACGAATCCCTATAATTTTTATGTTGTATACGGCCAAAATAAATAGGGTCCGGCGATGGAAAGTCGGAATAATTTGGTAGACTATAATAAATTAAGATTATTAAGATAAGACCGCCAATTGTTCCACTACTGTGTTGTATTTAATTTGCAAATTTCATGTTCAAAACTTTAACTGTAAAATGGTGTGACAATAAAGTGTTATTATTATTATTATTATTAAATCGTCACTGCATTATGCAGCACTATGCAACATCATACTTGTTATATGCGCGACATTATATGTCATTTTATAGAAAAATATAATGAACTTACGGAATTCGATTTGAAATTCTCTTTACAACTCTTATAATATAGCTAGCAGTTATGCCGCAGATTCGCCCGCGTAAATTATAGCGCTTGTCACCCGCGTATAATATAGCTTCCCGTAGTTGAATGAAGTTTTTCATGTTCGGATCAGTATTTTTTAGGATAACTCCCTTTAAAAAACCAAAGTTAGGAACTCACGGAACCTCTTTATAATATTAGTGTTAGTATAGATATAAGCATAATGAATAGCTATCACCTTTAACATAGTATGTTTTCATGGTAGTTTTTAAACTTACGGTAAACACGACTCCTACGACATATTTCCTTTCCCCATCAGCTTTGTCGAAGTCTTGGAAGACCAGTCTCGTCCCATATGCCAAACCTATTGCGTTCAACGAGTACGTTAGAATCCAATTGAAACCAGTACCGAGACCAGTATAGAGTCCTCTTTTGCGTCCATATTGCTCGGCTGGCTCCAAGAGTTTTCTATATCTAGAGACAAATGTTCAGTATTAATTGCAATATCACTCACTTGTTTTTGGCGGTTATTTATGACTTACTTATTTATAAATAAACATTTTAATTTTGTATGTAGTTTAACATGTCGTCATAATTAAATTTCACACTAATCGGTTGAGGATAATTATCTTAAAACTGAGTTGTAAGATTTGACGAAAATACACACCTAAATAAGAGCTTGTAAAAAGTAATGTTATAAGCTGTTTTAATCTGTCCGTAAAAAAGATATGATGAGGAAATATCATTATTTTCCGCCTTTAACATAACTAATTATTACGTTAACGTGTAAAATATGGGAATTCAGTACAAATTGTTTTGTTAAAATTATAGTATCGGACGCATAGCTGAAACAACACTCCCATAGATGAGAGGTTTAATACATCCTTTATTACTTTTTAAAGTAGGTTTTATTTGATTAAACCTCTAATGCTGCGACAGCGCTGTATTCATAGCTGTATTTTGACAGCACTTCTGATGTGATGATATTGGGAGAATGACAAATAAGTAATTAATATTATTTATTTACAAATGGATTAAGAAGGTTGTGAACATGTAGATACTTAAGGTTGCGTCTAAGGTCAAGAAAAAAAACGAGACTAAAATTTACCGGCAAGTAAGTGAAAAGTCAGTAACAGATGATGACGTATAGTACAAAACAGAGCGTCAAAACCTATTGTTGACTAGTTACTCATAAAGCATCATTGTTATTGAAAAAAATCTCAATATATTTCCCCAGTACTAAGTGTCCCAAGTATTCATATCCTTTAAAAAATAGTTAGTATAATTAGGAGGAGAATTTAAATACTGGCTTCTTATATTATCACATGAATTGTCTATTGAATAATATTTAACCGGGAAAAAAATCCATCAGATTTTTTTTAATCTCAGCCCCCCTTAGCATAGTTCTACATGCTAAAATGTTAATATAACTTACTTCTCGATTTCCTTATTTTCTCCACCGAAGGCCACTATAGTTCTAACTGACTTGAGGACTTCTTCCGCTTGTTTTCCGGCTTGACTGTAGGAATCCATTTCCCTGATAGATGAGTTGGTTTGATACTGAAATCATAGAATTATTAAATTATACAAGCGGTTGTTTAGAATCTGTTTATATTGCATTAAAACTTGGCTAGTTGTTTAAAAGCCGCGTAAACAAAAAAAAATATACATACCATCAATACCTTATATTTTATCAGTGCTTATATAAAAAGGTTTTTTTTAAATAAAAATTGTATATTGGGTGCTCGTGTTCTAAACCAGGCTAAATAGAAGAGGCCTTATTATTTAATTTGAAACTGAACCTTTTAAGATACACTAGCTTTTCGCCAGCGGCTTCGCCCGCGTGGACCTTACTCATAGATCTAAACTCCCCTCCCGCAAGCGCACCCCCGTTATGGTGACGTCCACTTCGCAACGAGCCGTGCAGCATAACTTCAAAACCAAACGTCCAATTTTAATCATTCCAAGATCAAATATTATCTACATGAACTGTACTTAGTGATGATTTTTTTTTATAAGTATTAATAGCATGAGTAATATAAACCCGTTTAAATATTTCTAGGCCAAAAAAAATTTCAAGATTTTTAAATAAAAAAAATGGTTATTGTGCCTCACTCTACATAGATAGGTATAGTATGATATTTATAGGATCTACAATTAATTAGATCATTTTAAGGTTCTATCTTTTGTAGTTTAGGCAGCGTACGTAAAATAAGTAATTTTTCTGATTGATTTTTTACACCTTGCGTCCGAAAAACCCAAATATCTTACGGAACCCAATTTTTTCAATATAAATATTGCCTATGTTACTCTTGGATAATGTAGCTTTCGGATGGTGAAAGAATTTTTAAAATCGGTCCAGTAGTTTTTGAGCCTATTAATTATAAACAAACAAATATACAAAGTTTTCCTCTTTATAATATTAGTGTAGACTTATTTATATTTGTTTTTTTTTTTGTATTGGACATAATGCATACTAATACCACTATTCTAATAATTTAAGCTTCAAATTAAAATTTTAAACCTATTTCTAATTATTTTCGATGTAAAATAACTGGATTTCAAAAATATCAATTTAAAGCGAGCGATTTGGTTAATTAGCCCACAAATCGAAAAATATGCAAAAGGTAACCTAAAAATGCTTAAATCAAATTTTCATCACAAACGTAATTACTTACATTTGATAGTATAACAGAAGCAGCAATAGAAAACGGCACGACGATACAGCAGGCCAGTGTGAGCTCCCATCCGAGGGGAAAAGATACTCCTAGACAGATCACACCTGTGCCTACCAGGTTGGCCACCACTGCCAATTTCTCCCCGAAACCCTCCTTCAGTTTCATCATGTTCCTTGTAAATTTGAATGCAGCGTAAGAAATTTAACCTCGGAGCTAAGATTTGGAGATACCGATTGATTCGAATATCTAGTTTATCATTTTGAAATTTTTCTTTCGGTTCTTAGTTTTCATTAGACGAGTATGGTTGGCAAATAATTTGGATATTATTATAATAAATAATTTTGTGAAATCAGAAACATTAATAAGTATTATCATACACAAATCTCAAAGTTGATTTTAGTTTTTTAAAATACGTTACTCAGGCACCGAATTGAGTAGCTTAAGCATTGTTTTATCTGCCCATACGTGTCCCCTCTCGAAAATCTATCATGTATATCTTACTGTGAAGAGTTTTTAACGGGTTTTATTTAAAAAAAAAATAAAAACCGTTAAAATATATATTGAAATATATATTTGATAACCGTATTTTTCGCTTCGCCGTAATCGGGTAAAAATAACTTCACGTGCCCTTTAAATGATTCGAGTAAGTATTCCAGCGCGCACCATACTCGTACCACGAGATGCTATTAAAATGATAGTTTTATGTTCCATCATACTTACTCAGTCATTTTTGACGCCAAATTGAACCCTGATTCTGTGTCATACCACGCCATGTCTTGACGTAGTACCGACGTGAGGAATATTATTCTTATTCGTTTAATCTGCAAAATAATGTATACACGTCATCGCCTCCAAAGAATATAATATACTACTGGTTCATTTACAGCCATATTATTATCCCACGAAGGCAATATAATAATGATACCTCAAGAATCAAGTAATATCTCTATGAGTGGATACATTTTAATACTTTACATTATTTATTTATAAAATTAAAAAAGAAGTAACAAAATGTCTGCGATTATTATCTATTATCATACCAACCTACGATAGGTTGGTATGATAATAGATAATAGTCGAAAACGATCCACAAATTCAAGCCACTGAGTGACGTCACACGGTGCTATGGAGTGAAAAACGTAATCTTTCTTATTTGTGTGTATATGTTAATAGCTGTTATAATAAAAGTTGTTACGTTTTATGTAATTAATTCTATGCTTATATGTGTTTAAGCAATTTTTTTTAATATATTTTCTCTACTTTTTTCGAAGCTTAATATTTTCGGAGTTAATGTCATAAAATTTATTTTGTTTATTAATCTTTATAAGTTAACATGGTTCATATTTTTCGAACATATAACAGAAATTTGTATTTTCACTTATAGAACACAACCCTAGCGAAGTGCTACATCTACATAACGTTTCAAAATTAACGTTTTCTGTAAGATGATACTTACATGTACCACTAAAACTTACTAAAATTTATTAAATATACTAAAATTTACTCGTACACAATTCTAATATATACTCTTAAAAATGTTATTTAACTCATATTTTAATTATTAAAGGAATAACCTAATAAGCTGTCAGACAATTATGATCAAGGCAACCTACAAAGCCCTTGACCCAAATGACCCATTTGAAAAAGTTAAGATTAAAAACTTTATTTTAAGCATTATTTGTGTAAGAACACTTAAATATATTTTTTTACACTAAACCGCATTTTAAAAATAATATTTCTACCTACGTATCATTAACGCATATCCCAAGGCCGTAGCCAAAAATAGTCATAAAAACGTTTTACTGTTTTCAAGGTACTGTTTACATTAGTGAAAAAAATTTCATATATATATATACGAAATTTTCGCTATCTCAAATTTAGCTTCTGAAATGAATGGCCTTGCCATTCAATAACTAAAGGCTACAAGCATAAAGCTCATTGAGTCAATATAACGCGAGGTCTCTTTATTCTACTGAATTAGTTGATTGTTCTCACTGATTTCGATATTGTTTTCAAACTACAAACTCCTTAGTGGTTTCCCTGTGCACGCATGGACATCTAAATGTTTTCTTTCTTCGAGTCAGCGTCCTTCTTTTAATTTTTCTCTTAGGCTTTTTTCAACATCTTATTTTATAGTTTCACTATGCCTATTACTTGGTTATCTTAATTATTAAATATCAAAAGTAATACCGATACATAGTAAGTAAGTATGTAATGTAAACGGAATTTTTATTCACACTCAAATAATAATGTAGGTTGCATAAGATATGAGTATACAAAGGTATAAAAATTACATAAAGTTAAGAAATTGATAACGTACCTGCCTTAATGCGCTCCAGCTGATGAGTGCAGTGGACATCATGCACAATATGAGTGATAGTATTATGCTGAGGAACATACCGATCGCCATACTTTTGCCGTCTTCTACTAAAGCGTTCATATTCTCTTCGTAGGATGCATTCACTCTGAACGGAAATAAAACGGTGGCCTAAATATCTAATTTATGTATCTATTGCAATCCCTTTCGAAAGTATAACGATTTATACGAGTACATTTCTTTTAAAATTGCAATCGCTTTTGGAATGAATAATGATTTGAATGATCACGAAACATAATAAAAACTTAAAATTTAAGGTTTTAATAAAAAGAGTATATACATAATTACTCACAATCTCCGTCCACCACCGAATAATGACGTCAGAGGCATTCTACTAGATAACCGATCTGGATATTTTGTTCTCTCCACGAATGCTGTACTTAGCTCCCCGAATTGCGCTAGGTTATAGCAGATTCCACCACCGCTCACGAAACCAAATATTAGGCCTAGAACCGTAGCCAGTATCTCCGGACACGTTGCATATCGAAACTATAATAAAAATATATTTTATTATGATATGGCATGGTTGCTGCGCTCTAGTAGTACGTGGTTCAATCATTTAAAATCTATGTCTAAAGGTAATAAGGTTAAATTTGATTAAACCTCTAATGCTGTGACAGCTTTGTTTTTGACGCTGCTTTCGATGGTGTATTTTTACAGAATGACAAAACTGATAAATCTACAATTTCTGATGATTAATTGAAAATATAATAGCAAAAGTTAAGCATTAAGTGGAATATTGGGAATAATTCAACTTTTAAAAGACAAGATATTTGATTCGATTCAGGCAGCCACAGCGCCATTTATCAAAAATGAGAGTAAGTACTGACTGCGATTGTTTTAGTATCTTTATTATGATTTCGAAGTTTAAAAAGATAGTAAACAACGTAGCTATGTTGGTCATGTAAGTGATAAATTAGAAGTAATAAAATTAAATGGACGTTTTGATGGGTTTTGGATCAGGCGTTTTGTTGAAATGTGCAAATCTCATAATGATTCAATTAGAAAACTAGGCGTACAAATGAATGGCGTCGTTCAACTAAATGTTTAGCTGCCCAAATGAACGGCTGGAAATATCGTTGCAAATTCGGTAAAATTAGGCGACTAGCCCTATAATAGGATAGCGGAATTTATTTGCACGGCTAAACGTCAAGCTGATGAGTAACGTCGTCTTTCTATAGTACGTTACAAAACACAATTATAAATTTAATGTTATATTTATTTGATGTTTAACTTCGATGTCATGACAACAAAAAGCTATAATTTTTATTTAATGTTCAGCAACAGCTGTACATCTAATTACATATTTTAAATATGGGATTAATAGTATATTGTTTAAAATTATATTTAGCTATTTGAAAACACAAAATACCATCATTAAAATTAGGACAATAGATAAATATTAATAACACATGTACACCGAAAAATGTCCGATACATTTCAATACTTTAAGCTATTTACCCAATTTGAAATTCAGATAGAAAAAAAAAAACAACAAAAATCTCAAGTTCATACAAAACTTAATCGAACACTGAAATCTACGCAAAATTCTTAGAATAAAACAATAACGTTATTTAGATTAGAATAAACGTCATTTAGGTAGTTTGGCAAGCTTAAAGTTCTTCCAAATTTATTTTTTTCAAACTCAACTTTACCCAAAACAGTAAGATGTAGAATTACACTTAACCTCATCTAGTGAGGCTCAAAATATATAAAATGTGTTTTCATTTGTGATTTGTACTTGTACTTTTAAGATTTATATTTAAAATAGAATTTTTGTTATAATTTTATGTACTCAAATGCCAATTTTCATACTATATATGAAAATCTTTATAAATAATGTTCGACAGATTTATTTCAATGACAAATCAAATAGTAAACAATGGTTACAATGGTAACATTTTGATTCCCCATAAAAACTTCCACTTCCATTTTCATCCCTTTAAGTGCTAGTTTTCGGGATGAAACCTATTATCCTCCTAGCATCTTAAACTACTCAAATACCAATTTTCATCGACATAGGTCTAAAACCAAAAAAGTTTCATACAAACGTTTACACCCTTTTTGACTCTCTTCAGGACGAGATTTCAAAAAATCTGTTCTTAGTTCTTATTACACCTCTACGTAATAAGGCGAATGTACTCTCCAAATTTCAAGTCTCTACGACCAGCGGCTTAGCCTGTGCTTTGTCTGTCAGTCAGTATCTCGGGACATCTCTTTTTATACATGTCAGTATAAAACAAAGTCGCTTTCTCTGTCCCTATATGCCTATGTAGGTATGCTTAAATCTTTAAAACTACGCAACGGATTTTGATGCGGTTTTTTTTCATAGATAGGATGATTCAAAAGGAAGGTTTTATGTATAATCCAAAACCACGCGGGCGAAGCCGCTGGCGGAAAGCTAGTAGATATTAAATGCTAAAAGAAAAGACATCCACCTATTTTATCATTAGGTTTAACTAATTAAAAAACTTTTAACTGTTTCCATGATTTCATCGGGGAATATAATACTTTCTTTGTTTCCAATTTCATAACATATGTAAGTGCCTTAGCTACTTAAGGACAAGAGGAATGATTGTGAAGTTGTCCGATCACTAAGAATATTTATTTATTTAACATTACTGTACTCGATTCAATAGCTGTAGATAAGATTGCGAAGTCAATATAGAAAGATCAAACAAATCTTTTACTATTTATATTCAATAAATAATGTTCATGACAGCTAACATTTGAAACATGTATATAATTTTTTGAAATATGTATAGAGCAGATATTTAAAAATTCAACCTCGAAGGGACTCAAAAAAGGTGAAATATTTGTATGAAACTTCTTTGTTTTTGGACCTATATAATTGAAAAATTGGTATCTGATTAGTTTAAAACCCTAGAAAGGTAATAGGTTAAGGTAAATGGGGGTGAAACTTTTTATGGGGAATCGAACTTAACAGTTCAATGGTAATCCATTGCAAATATTGTTTACTATTTGATTTGTCATTGCAATAAATCTGTCGGATATTAGTAATAAAGATTGTCTTGAATAGTAATGAGAATTGGTATTTGAGTACATAAAATATAACAAAAAATATATTTCAAATATAAATCTTTGAAAATATTCAAGTACAAATACGAATGAAAACACAATTTATACGAGTATATTTTGAGCCACACTAGCAACAACGGTACATCTAGTTACATTCTTTTAATATGGGCTTAATTGTACACTGTTTAAAAGTATATAAGCTATTTGAAAATACAAAAAACCATCATATAAATTAAGACTGAATAGATAAATATGAATATCACATGTACACCGACAAACACTATCATATAATGTACATTACCATCATATAATGTTAATGTAATAAAAATAGCTTTTTATTGTAATAATTTCGAAGTTGAACATCAAATTAATTTTATTCTAATATGGTGGACATTTTGCTATTAATAAAGTTAATTATTGTGTATTGTAACGTGATCCAGTGAGAGATAACCATTTTCATGGGCTTTGTACAGCCGTACTGTAGAAGAACGATAAAATGGTTACTCAGCAGCTCGACGCTTAGCTGTTCAAATGAATTCCGCTATTCTTTTATAGAGCTAGCCGTCTAACTGGATGGATATTTTACCGAATTGGCTACGATATATATGTCGCAGCCGACTGGACAATCAGCCATTCTATGGGGCGGCTAGCTATTTAGTTGAATGGCCCTTTCAATTGTACGCCTAGGTTTCTAATCGAATCATTATAACATTTGCTTTTTCAAGCTCCAAAAAGTCACCAAAGTTTTGTTATCTGTTAAAAAATAAATAAATAATATTTTAACCTCAACGTATTTTCATTAGTTTTCACAAAATTTCCTTAATTTAAACTTAATAAAAAAAATTTAGTTAGTTTGTCGACCAAGTAATTGTGATTATTATCTCGAGCTGCTCCGTGCTTCGGAAGGCACGTTAAGCCGTTGGTCCCGGCTGCATTTGCAGCCGTTAATACCCTCCAATCAGCATTGGGCCAGCGTGGAGGGTCATGGCCCATCCCTCCTTAACCATCCATGGGGAAGGCCTGAGCCCCTGCAGTGGGGACGTGGAGGGGCTGATGATGATGATGACGATTTGTGCATTTAGCCAGTGTCAAGTTTTATATGTTTACCATAGACATCTATTTATATTAAGAATATTTCTATCTTTTATATTGGACATTTTTTAATTCTTTTTATTTATATGATATTGATAATAATCTGCCCCGCTCACTCTGGCCTGGGTGACGGCTGAAAATCGGTACTTCACCCTTTCTTGGGTGATTTACGTGCACCGAGCCTTGACCCATATCTTACTGCTGCACACAGGTATATCACTTTTATCATTATGTATTCTGTTCTTAACTGTGTTTTGTATTGTATAAGTTTGTGATGTAGTTGTGTGTTGTTGTCTGAATAAACAATTTATCTATCTTATCTATCTACCATCTATGTTTGTGATGTTTACTGTGGTCAAACAGATTTTCTATTTCAGTAATAATTTCAAATTGAATAAATTTTGAATAAATATGGTCGAATTTCGACCACTGGGCGACCATTAGTACTTATTATGCTAAAAAGTTTGCAATAAGGAGTAAAAGTTTGTATGGTAGTTCGTCATTGTCAAAAATTAAATATTGAACCTTTTTATTCTGGTATTTTACACGATTTAACCCATAAAGTATATATAAAAAAAATATATAATAAATAAATATTTTTTTAAGCATCTTTAGATATGCTACCCAAAGTAAATACCTACCATGCGGACGAAGTCGCGGGCAAAAGCTAGTAAATAATAAACGTTTTTCGAGAAATCATATCAGCTGCTTCATAGAAAGGATGAATCATAGATAGTACCTTATACGTGTGTTATTTTGATGATATACGATTTCTTAGTGAGTCCGTTATTTTTTTATCATATTACAATTGTTAGATTTAAATAAGTAAAATGAATGGCTAATATGTAAAATGCCAAATGTTTATATGTTAAATGTTATTTTGTTAGGCAACATGAATAATAAATAAGGCGTTTGTCAAATGATTTGGTTTAAGATGAAAATTAGTCTGTTAAATATGTTAATACACGAATAAATATTTATGTACAGATGAACTGACGAATCGTATATAGCGTCAAATGAAAATATGTACTTTTAATTTCGATCAAATGACAGTACCTCATCAAAGCAATTTTCTTGTGAGTTCCTTGATAGTTTTTCAATACTGAAGCTGTTCAAGGAGATCCCATAAAATTTCATAATTTCGAATTTTACTCATGTTTTAATTTAACCTTATTGAATAAGGAGAGGTCATCACCCGCCATTAGGGTCCAGGGCGGATCGGTCGTAAACAAATGTAGATGTAGCAAGACAAATGGCTTAATTCGCCTTCAGAAGCGAAGAGGGGCTGGAGATAATAAATATTTGGTAACCCATCCTATGAACGGCTTTAACTAAAGTGCTTGACCTCAGCTTAAAAACCGAACTCATTGACCTATAGAGCTCCTCTGCTTTAATAAATTCATAAAAAAAATACGCCTCTTTCGTTACTAACAAATACTAAAACAGACTTCATATATCGAAAAATATGCATACCAGACAAGTCAGATAAGAAAATTGTCTTCAAATCGGTTTAGTTTTAAAAAATAAAGCAGATAATGGCAGATTGGTAAGACAGCTAAAACCAAAGATTTCTAAGAGTGAACGTAACGAAGACGAACCAACTATTTCCCATTGTTAAACATTTGCACACCGCCTTTTTAAATAATCATCATCATCAGCCCTTTTATGTCCCCACTGCAGGGGCTCAGGCCTTCCTTATGGATGGCTAAGGAGGATGGGCCATGACCTTCCACGCTGGCCCAATGCCCTTTTTAAATAGGGAAATGAATTAAATATACTAACATCTCAAGCTGTATTGATATAGTTCTTTTTTGTTTATGGAATAGGGGGCAGACGAGCAGACGGATCACCTGATGGTAAGTGATTACCGTCGCCCATGGACACTTGCAACACCGGAGGGGCTACAAGTGCGCTGCCGACCTTAGAGGGAAGGGTTGAGGGGTAGAGGGAAGGGAATAGGGAGGGGTTGGGCCTCCGGTACCCTCACTCACACGACGAAACAACGCAAGCGTTGCTTCACGGTTTTCTGTGAGGCCGTGGTATCACTCCGGTCGAGCCGGCCCATGCATGCCGAAACGCTTAAAAGCTACAGGCACGATAACAAACTAATCCCTGCATAACTTTGATTGAATATAGTTAGTTGGTTTGACATCATTATTTAAATGTACACTAACAGTTATTATTACAGTAAAAAGTGGGTTATACGATGGTTCTTGTATTTAATACTTACGATTTGAAAGTAGGATAATCTCAGCTCATCACAAATTTCAGGTTCCGCAGTTCTGTAAAAAGGTGAGGATTAACATTCGCAATAGGACAGGATAAAGCACAACATAATTATTGCCACATTTTTCTTAATGTTGGATAGAATTGAAAAATTTTCAATTCGTCAATAGCATGTTATTTAAATTTTAAAATGTTTATTGAAACTAATACCGATAGTTAGCTCATAAAATTGATAACTCTAGCAAGTTGCTATAGGGGCATTTGATTTAAATTTTATGAAAACCGATTAGCAATGTTTGCCTCTCAAATTTAAACAAGTAAAGTTAGGACAAGAATGCGCACTTATTGTTAAAATCGCTGCTTCGTTATTTTGTTAGACTTAAAGCTTCGAACAAAGCGCTATCCTAGCATTAGAGGTTCAATCAAATACAACCTTTACACCTTGTTAAGTAGGTTTCAATCGATTGATCCTTTAATGCTACGACAGCGCTATGTTCGATACGCAGCGCTATGATGTTGTATTTTTAACAGAATATCAACGCTGCACAGTAATAAAAAATAAAATATATAAAGTCTGTGTGAATCAATTATTTTGAATATATTTGAAAACATTCTACAAAAGTCTCGTCATTATTTAGGGTTCCCATCGAGTCGAATTGTCATAATATATGACATGTAGTCGTAAATTATCAATCTGTTTTGACAGATTGGTAATTAGTATAATGTTTAAAACGGGAAAAAAGGTACAATGATATAAGAAACTTTATGGTAACTGTTAATTTTGCAAACTTGGGGTGCGATCGCGTAACTCATGGACGTAGCCGTAGTCGTAGCTATAGCCTACGCTTTATAGGTTTTACACATGAATCTTTTGATATTGTTTTAAAATTAATCATTTTTTATTATTTACATATTTAATCAATGCTTTTAGTTGTTTTTGTTTGCTGAATTATTAAAGTTAAACGAAATTTACAAAATGTCGAATTGATACAAACAATGATATTTCGAAAAGAAAAACAAACCAAAATGTTTGATATATAAATTAAAAAAAAAAAAAATAATTTTAAAAGAATATAAACATATTCATAAGAAATATCGATAAAGCGTAGGTTATAGCTACGACTATGGCTACTTCCATGAGTTAGGCGGTCGCGCCCCTGAAAGCTGACGAGTTGTATTAGAATAATGTAAATTTAAATATTTTTGTTACACTCTGAAAAAAACATTTAATTTAAAAGTAAGTTTTATAAATCTCCACAGATCTTGGTCACAGCGATTGTGATAACTGTGACAAAGATTATTTAAAGTTCATACAATAAAATTGTATTAAACCAGAACACCTTTAAGTTATATCTTATTCCTTATTGTTTTTCTTTAGATCTGAGTTTCGTTATTTGTTCCAGATGCTCTTTTTTTAGATACGGTGATCTTATTCAGGAAAGAAAAACTGTTTATAAATGCATTGGGCATCAAAAGCATTTAAATTGAATACTCGTAGTTTAATTTATTACGACTTGTCAAATGGGTTGAAAATTACAAAATTGATAGCAGAAGTCGCATTAATAATGGTTTCGCACAGCTGTCACGTAATAATGCATATCTATTTAACTCACTTGTTTTCTTTTTCTTTTTTCTTGACTCCCATTTTGTTGCACTATTAAAATTATTTCTTTGGTTATGGGACAAAGACGCACGGGAGAACTCGAGCAAAGCTCGATACGAACTGAAGGCTACAGATATTTCAGACAATTAATTAGACATATGTTGATATTGTCTCTCTCTCGAGACTATACAATAATTTGCTCTGATATAAGAGTTATCTAATGATGGGATAAACATAAGGCAATAAAGTAATAACAGTAAAACCACAACGAGGTCGCATTAATTATCCCTCTGTTCTGTAATTTAAACGAAAAATATGTTAATGGTGCAATCATGCTTATAAGGGATATCGATAGAAATGCTAAATCATTCTTTTGGCTTAAGGGGGCGCGTAAATTATAAATCACTGAATTTAAATAGTCTTTGTATAAAGAAATATAGTTAATGAGAATTTGCCTGTTCACTGTGACGAAGTTACACAGTGAATAGGCGAATATATAGTTTTCTCGATAGAAAACATCACAATTAGCCCATAAAATTTATAATTATTTCGATTCCTTCTCGTAATCATAATCTTTTTATTTTAGGAAAAAATTACAAATATGTGAATCATTGCAGTTGATGGCTTTACGGAACACTTTTACAATAAATTTGATAGCTTGCGAGTAATTTATAAAAAAATATTTTTTACGGGCTGTCATACCAGCTCTGGTCATACTCTGTCCTTGTTTATGTATTGACGATTGCGTTGTTTGCGTTTTGTTTTCTCATTTGCCTTTACGCTTAGTCTTAACAAGGAAAATTAATATACTTTGACTAATACTAAATACTACAGAAAATGCGTCATCTTTCGAAGTCATTGTAAAACATGTAAATAAAAAAAAACAACTATTAGCTTGTAAACGAATATAAAAAAAAACCCAACCAGTCTAGATGCTCGAGACGCACTGTCTCTGTAGTGTGTCAATAGCAATCATTATCAGCCCTTCTAAGTTTCCACTTCAGTGGTACAGGCCTTTCTTATGGATGGTTAAGGAGGATAAGCCATGAATGAATAATCTTTCTTTTTAATAATATTTGTGGCAGGTTAGCACAAATTTGAAAGAAATTTTAAAATTGTATAATTCTTACCAGACGCCCGTTTTGCGCTGAAATGTTTTCAGTCTATCAACATCGGTCAAGAACACCTAATTGTTTTGAATTATTAAACATTATTTTATTAATGTGTTTTTGTTTATTTTCATAATAATTTTAAAATTATTTATCTTTAAATTCTTAAAATATCATTAAGTTTTTCACAATCTGATATAATTGTCTGAAATGGTTGAGTCAAGCTATGGTTGAGAACTGAAAGGAGGACCAATGCTATGTTATTAACACAACTCCATCGAAGTTTGATTTTGTTTTATTTATTTATACAGGATCTCTGGTCAAACAAACACAATTTTAATTTTATTTATTTTTGTAATCGACTCCTCTAATTGTATATTTACTAATTCAACGGCCTCCGTGTTTATTATATGTTCAAATAAAAGGGCTGTGGGGATTACATGTATATTCAACTATAATAATTATAATTAGCGTAGTTAATTATAATTATTATAGTAATTACGCGTAGGTATTTTCTGAACCTAATTATAATTATTTAAAGGTAAATAATTATAATTAGGTTCAGAAAATACCTACGCACTAATTTGATCATTGGACAAAATTAGACATTGATGATAATAAAAATATTGACAATGGTTCTTTAGTTATAGTTTAGTCTTTATAGATTACAGGAACACCTTTATGAAGTTTATATATAATAATCATCAGATTACCAAAAGCAAATAAAAAAACAAATTTTCTCTTGTGTTGCATTCGTTACTAACCACAGAATCTTGTTGACGTTCTCGGTATATGTTCGAAATTATATTAAAAAATGTATTTAATTGATAACCCAAAATTGGGATTTATTTTATTTTAGAGCTCTGTGTAATTATTTTAGTTCCTTAAGGGTTTCGCTGCAACAGGTAAATACACAATTACGTTTTATTAGTTAAATGTTGATATAGATATAAAGAGTAAAATGATAATAACCGGTATATGATAAGGTTAGTACACACTGTGCATCAGTATGTCTAGTAAGAGTTTATCTTTAACTTATTATAAAACTGGGATTAATTTTGGTACCAGGTTTAAACCTTTAACCGGCCAAAAAAGGCAACCCTTCTCAATTTATCTTATTCTCTATTGATATCAGCTGCTTATTAATATTCAGCTTTGTGTTTTATACAGCGGTTCTCAAACTATTTTGGTGAAGGTACCCTTTTGGAAACCAAACATACACGGAGCCATATAATAAAACAAAACATAATTTCTATTAAGTTACATTTTTTACTACAACTCTCACTGAAAATGGTAACAAGCTTCATAAGCTTCTTAAGCATATAGAACTTATACCTATTAGGTAACTTACTTAGCATTCAGCTCTAAAAACAACTGTATCAATAACTTTGGTACCGATAAGAGATATTTTTTTTATTATTACATGTACCTGTAATTGTATTTTTATGTACAATATTTTATTATTGTAATGGAAATGTTGTCGCGCGTTGAAATATATTCTCAGTTTTGATTGAATATAAACCATTGCTGAATAAACTATTAATTCTTCCGTCATAATTTAACATGAACAAAGGGAAAAAATAAATATGGAATAATATACCTTAAATATAATACTGAAATCACATTCTAAATTATTATTTATAGAAATTTTAACATTATTAAAATTAGTAAAGCGAATCCATAAATCGATCTCGAATTTCTTGGACCTATTAACAAAATGTTTTCTTTTTCTATTAGGAATAATTTAAGAAAGTATTTCAATGTTGTCAAGGATTATAATCCCATATTCAGTTTCTTTCCACAACAATTTATTTGTAATAGATGAATGTACAAACAAAATGAAGATAGAACCAATTATTTAGTTTATACGCTAGATTTCAGAATGCGCACGAACGCCAGTTAAAACGCCACTTTATTGACGAAGGTGAAGCATGATATAGCCAGAATGTCATTATCATTGTCGTTAGATAATGTTTGAATTAGTGTGGCATTGTCTTAGAAGAGTCTATTAAGATAAGCGTTTGCAAAAGTTGTGCAATACGCTGTCAACGTGGATTTCTAGTTTCGTTCTTTAGCATGTTAATTAACAACCGCTGATTTCAATATGTTTTTGGAGTACACAAATTCAAATGAGTCTATAAGAAAATCGAATAACTAGGGAACTCAGGGTACACTTACTATATCCTCTCAATTATTAACTGAAAAATCTCATTTTGTATGAATTTAAGATAAGAATTTGCAAAACTTGTGCAAAAGCATTGCAAATATACGTGAATTTTTAATTCCGTTCTTTAACAAGGGTGTCAATTGACAATCACTGGTTTCATTATGAAATAACTCATGGTAGACTTACTTTGTAATTTTTTTATTTAGTTAAAGAGTAGATAGAATTGACACCATTTTCATATCATAAATTGTATTGTTTCGATGAAGAGTCCAAAGTAAACTACTCTGTTATGCACATGTAAAAATACCATTAATATTAACAAAAAATAAATGATTTTATCTTTGAAGACACTCGACAAATTAATATTAAAAAAAATCTCCGAGGACACAATAAATTGACACAGTTTGTAAGCACCAGTGTTCAGTATCTTAATTTACTATCAATTGAGCGAATCCATTGTAAAACATTACGATGCCAATTGACCTGTTGTAGACGCGGAACAATATACAATAAAATGCACCAAACAAGCGTGATAATGAAACAACCATGACCTATATTATTTGTTTTAATTCTCTTCTTGTAAGCATAAATAAACAGATAGAAATTAAATCAGTCCGTTTACAATCTGTTATCAACGGATTCTTGGATACTTTGTCCACATAGCTCAGAGGCAACCAGATAGTCTTGATAAATTTTATGAGAGTTGCAGTCTCAGTTCATAGGTCTATACTGAAATCTGAAGCATATGAACAGATGCTGAGAAAACGTGTTTTAAACTGCCAATTCCATCTGGAGTGACCTCTTTTGCACATCGTTTCGGGTTTTTTCTTCGGCCTTTCATCTATAACAAACTTGCCAAAATATGCCACTTTGAGTATTCTAGTGTTCAGGAAACAAAAAGGCTGCTTTCAGGGATACTGATGAACTGGACGTATGAGAAGACCGAGACGTTACTAGCAGCTCTGAAGTAGTCTTGATATAATATAAAATAAAGAATAATAATAATACTATACTACATATACTATCACGCATACACACATCACACAGCATTCACACATACACGACATAAATGACCAAGTCCCAAATCAGCATTCTAAATATATTCTAAAATTTGTGTTATAAAATGTTCTAAATATTTTTATTGGAAATTGTAATAATCTCTTCCACAGGCCAGGCTCTGCCTAGTGTGGGGGTCAGTATGTATAAAATTGTAATGGTTTCTGGAAATAAACATTTTCATTTTCAAATTGTTCGTGGTAGCCAAGGCAAATGGAAAGAGACCACGTGGGCGATCACCGACCCGTTGGTCTGACTCTCTGTGAGCGGTGATGGGACTTGCTGAAGGCGTGGAAGCAGCTCGTAAATTCTTGTACCAAAATATATCAGGGCAGGCACAACCTTTAGTAATGAAGTATACGACTAAGAAGAAAGAAGCATAGAAACTTTAGGTATTTAAATCTTAGCCATGCCTATTTCAATTTGTTTTAGGTAAGAATACATTTGTGTAATACGTGGCTTATAACTTGAACCAAAATGGCGACTACGTTGCTATGATTACGCTGCGTCTCACCCCCGCACCTCGATTGAGACCTATTATGCAGCCACCATAATCTATATTTGTAAATTATACACATTGGCACTGACAAAAATATTGTTTTAATAACTATTCTTTTTTATTTGTCGCTAATTTTACATTTGGTTGTAGACTAAACAATGTAGCGAGTAACTTTATGAAGTTGATCAATATGTAATGGCGTAGGTCAAATCAATTGTATCTGATTCGAGACGTCACACCATCATGGTTGTTGTTCATCCGAGCAATCACTACAAGGCAACTTTTCGTTGA